TCAAAAAAGAAATGGAAGGGAACTTGTCACACAGTTTATTTAATATGCTCATTGAATGGACTTTGGGTAAAACAAATTCACATGTGTTAAACCAAAGTATCCTCAACAGGATCGGGATTTGTTATATTGGAAATGGACGACATTAGCTAATAGTGATCAATCACTGTAGTGAAATGTGGTTTGGCCTATCACAGCTGAATTAAAATCACAGAATAATACTGACATTGTGACAACCAGAAAAGGAATTTTATATTTTAACTACATTTATATGTCATTTTGTTAAGGCAAATGACAGATTGCTGTTTTGCATCATAAAAAATAAAGAAATACAAATAAAGTACCTTAATGGTGGAGTGTGTGTTCAACACTGCAAATTAGAGTTTGTGTCAAAGGGAAAGGAAAGGAGGCAGTAGGAGCAAGAGGTTAATGTACCAGAGTTTTATTTTATTGTTTTTCAACATTCATCTCGGTCATTTATTGTCTTTTTTGACATATGTAAGAAATTACAAGAAAGACTATTTCATGTTAAAATTACAACAGATTTCTACAAACTGATGTCAAATAATTCAATATATAAAATGTAAACGAACTGACTGCATAAAAATTCACTACTTTTAAAGTGATTCACCCAAGTCAACACTCATGGAGCCAATTGCATGCTAGAGTTTGTACGTTGAGTGGAATGGAAATCAACTAAGTGTAGTGAATGTGTTTCAAGTACATCTGCTTAAGTAGGGATGGACACCAAAAAAAATCAAGTCACTGAATATTCTGTAATTTACAGTGAAATCTATCAATAAGAAATAGAGGAAATATAGCACATGCATAAATCTGCCTTAAGCACGCTGTCCTCAAAAGCAGAGTGACCTTGCAAGAAACAGAGTAGTGACAGAGGGTACAAAGACACCTATAGGTCCTCTGAAGGAACTACAAGTTTCAGCAGGTGAGGTGGGAGAGACAATAACTGTTGCCTGTTCTTCACTAGTCAAAGCTTTATGGTGTCGTGGCAGAGAGAAAGTGACTTGAAAAGGGTTCATATTAAATCTTGACTAGGGTTTCCCAGAAGCCATGTGGGAGACTCAAGTCAACTGGAAAAGGGTTCTTTGATCTGTTCAGATTAAAATTGGGCTTTTTGAACATCAGACTAGATTTCGTGGACGCGAAATCCAACACATCATCACAAACACACCCACCCCACTGTGAAGAATTGTTGATGGCAGCATCATGATGGGAAGCATGGTGGTGGCAGTATCATAATGCAGTATGCTCCTCGGCAGCAGGCCCTGGAAGCCTTGTAAAGGTAGAAGGTAAAATGAAGATGGCAAAGTACAGACATTTCTGGAGTTACAGACTGCAAGAGAATTGTGAATTGGAAGAAGAATTGTTTTCAAGCAAGACAGTGGTCTGAAGCACACATGCATTCAGTGTACCCTCTGCACAT